ATATTTGCAACCATAGTAAAACAAAGGCTTATATTTTTGATATTTATTTTATATATTTAAATGCTGTTTAAGAAAAATCAACCAAAAAAATGAGTTCACGTGTCACCTTTGACACGCGTGTCATAGGTTCACCATCACTGGTGTAGACACTTCTACCATGACCAGTTTCAAGCTAACATTACATCACTGAATGCAAAATTGTAAAGAGAAGCTCTGTAGCACCATTATATAATATTTCTATCCTACAACTAAATTGGAGCAAATAATGTTAAGAGCATAATAGCAAAAGGTAGTAAATAATTAGGAAGCATTGAGTTTTGAATACTTATCACCGTTATCTTTTTTTTTTTTTAATCCTCACTCAAGGACGTGCTTATTGATTTTAGAAAGAGGGGAAAGGAGAGAGAGAGAGAGAGAGAGAGAGAGAGAGAGAGAGAGAGAAACATCAATTGGTTGCCTTCCCATACTTTCCCCAACCAGGGATCAAACCTGCAACCTAGGTATATGCCCTGACCAGGATGGGAACCGAACCCATAACCGTTCTTTCGGTGTACACGTTGACTCTCCAATCAACTGAGCCACACCAACCAGAGCTACCACATTTATTTTTAACATAACTTCCTTAACAAAGTTATATAATTTAAGTTTAATGGTGAATGTATGTAACAGCCAGCTTGAAAATATTCTGGAAATTTTACAATCAACTCTTGCAAACAAGTACAGGCAGGCTCCTGCACATCACTGCCGATGTCTCACTTGATATTTCGCAAGAGCATGTCTTCCCTTTCTCCTTTTTTACTGAAGCCACTGAATATTCACCCTATTCCCATCTGTGTCACAAACAATAACCATGCTTTTAGGTTAGCAGGTTATGTAAATGCAAAATGAATAAAACATAATGCAAATAAAAGTTAGAGAAGAAGGCCCATCTAGGTCACCCTCCCCCAGTTCGGACAATACTCTCGTCTTACTAGCCTTTTCCATGGGGTCACCTATGAAAATGACTCAGTCACGTATTTACTCGAACAATGGCTGAATGGATGACGCTACGTAGTTCTCGTGGCAAATGTGATGAGAGCCGTATTACATGTTTCTTAACCACTCTCTTCCTGGGTATTCTTTTCTATGAAATGGGGAAGAGGTCACTGCCGACTTCAGGTTTACCAGAAACTAAGTGGAGAGATAAGAAGCCTCCCACTAATGCTCTAAGAAACAACTGAGCTCTCCGTCATGTTTGGCAATTCTCTCCCAAAAGTGATTCATTCGTATTTTGTTTCACTGGAAAAGAGAAATTGGGAGGGTGATTTGACACTTTCACCACTGAAAGCAAATTCCTTTCTTTGGGCCCTCTCTGGGTAATAATAAAGAGCCTCTATATGCATAAAACACCGGAGTATTTTTTCATTAAATTTATTAGGGTGACATTGGTTAATAAAATTATGTAGATTTCAGGGGTACTGGAAGCAGCCCAAGTGCCCATCAGGAGATGAGTGGATAAAAAACCTGCGGTACATTTACACAATGGAACACTACTTGGCCATAAAAAAGAAGGAAATCTGACCTTTTGGGACAGCATGGATGGACCTGGAGAATACTATGCTAAGTGAAATAAGCCAGTCAGAGAAAGACAAGTACCGTACGATTTCATATATGTGTGAAACTAGTGAACACTTAAGAATTTCGTAAGTACTCCCTGCCTGTGTGTGCTAAAATGTAAATGTGGCTGACAAAAACTTTACACATGCTCATACCCTTGGCTCAGTCATCCCACACCCAGGAACTTTCCTAAGAAACCAATTCAAAACAAAGGAAAATACTTTTGTATTAATCACAACAGAGGGAAGATCATTTCGCCGCATCTCAGCACTTACTCAACTTACCATCTTGGAGCTTGGGCCCTGGTAGGAGAGTTCTGGGTTAACGGCTCCCAACTGCTCATCTGTGTGTGGAACGGCCGCCTCCTAGTCACCTGGGAGAAAGGGTTTGTATTTGTTATCACTCGGACCTGGACCCCACTCCAGGGCCGGTTGTGATACATGAGAATTGCTGTTGTTTACAAGCTCCCCAGGTGGTTTTAGGAATGACTTTTCTGGGCCAGAACCAGACAAATCAAATAGTCTCTGAACAGCTGTCCACATCCGGGGGACAGAATATCTTCTTATACAAAGCATCAACAAGTTGTTCAGGGTATTCAAGCAGCTGCGAGAGTCAAATGATTAAAGAGCTTGGAGGAGCCTTTTTTCTGGCATTCCTCCCGCACTCCCTCCCACCCCCCACCCCCCACCCCCACACACACACACATTCTATTCACCGTTCATCTCTCACTGCCCACCCCGGCACCTAGTACTGCCATACGGCCTTCCAGCATCCTCCACTTTGGCACCATCCTGCCTTGGGTCCACCTCTTCCCACACTCAAAGCCCCAAACTTCCCTCTCTTATGTTATCAGTGGGGCTCTGGAAGGAAAACGATATTACTCTTTGACTAAAGTAATACGCACGTATAATTGAGAATCTCCTGCATAATGAACAGACAGGCCATATTTGCATTTTTAAAGGGGGTTTACTAACCCAAAACAAACCCTAATCTGGGGAGTGGAACGGGAAAGCAGGGTGCTTCTTAATCTTGGCTTTCACCCAGACCCCAAGCATCGAGAACCTAAATGAGCACCTTGGGCGCTTATTGCAAAGCGGTCCCAACTCTTGAACAGAAACGGATTTTTAGCTATGCCTTGCTAGCATTAAAATTAAAATACAATAAAATTAAATAATTTAACCTAAGCTGGCCCAGGTAGAAGAGTCCTCTGTGCCTCTCTATTCCAAGCACCTGTCCGATTCCACCCAGTGTATTCGGAGAGACGCAGCAGCCACAGATGCCCCAAATAACATGCAGCCACTCGGAGGGTCGGGTTATAGTCTGAGGATCTGATATGGAAAGGCTTAAAATGTCAGTTTCTAATCCTTTCTCTTTTCCATATCCCTATGAACCAGGGGTGGGGAATGTCTGGCCTGAGGGCTAAATAAGGCCCTCAAAATCATTTGGTCTGGCCCTGCCATAGCATTAGGGGTGAGTTAATTAAATGTTTGACCAAATATAGCAGGCTACTTGTTAAGTTGAGAATTTTGTATGGCCCGTGAATGATGTTATAAATATCCAAATGGCCCTTGGCAGAAAAAAGGTTCCTCACCCGTCACTGGGCCATCCCTGGTGCTCAAAAAATGTTAATTCCCAGCCTCTGCCCATCCACCCCATGTATCTTATTCCCAGGCTAGGGACCACATCATTCTAGTGTCCCCAGTCAAGTCCTTAATAAGAATCATAATAGCTACATTTATTGAGAGTTAATTTTATGCCAGGCACTAGGCTAAATGCTTTACATATTTTTATTTTATCCCTAAAAAAAACCCTCTGCAGTAGGTACTTTCAGTTATTATTATTACAACTACTTTACAGATGTTTTTAATCTGAGGATTGGAGAAGTTAATGAGTCCGAATTTCCCGAAGCAACGGCACCAGGCTTCAACACAACGCAATCTGGCCCCAAAGTCTGAGTTCTTATTCACCATACTGTATTTTTGTTACTATGTGGACACGGGTATCTCCTAGTCCAGGGGGGAAAGTGCTCCAAATCATTAGGAAAAGAGCAGCAGGAAGTCTCATTCAGACATGCAAAGAAAATTACATATTTCATGGAATTTTTGAACTGGCTTTTGAAGAATAGAGATTTACTTGTAATCAGTCAACCCGTGTGTCCTCCCAAGAGGAAGGCTACTTTAATTACCAGCTGATTGAAGAGTCTCTTAAAAGGTAGTAACCAGAAACGGAGGTCTTACAAGTACCCCAAGCCACACCACCCTTTCTCCACATGAATGGTGTACTGAAGGAAGACAGCAGAGGGCCAGTGGGGGACCACCGGTGCATAAACTAGTCCCAAGGGTGAAGAGGCAAGCATCTCCAGGCTTCCTCTTGCTCGGAATTGTCAGAGCTGAGAAAGCTCAGAAGAGAAGCCTAAGGACATGAGAAGAAAACTGCTGAATGGAATCTATTCGTTCTGCTGAACGGCCTCTTAAGGTTCCCCAGAACCTGCCTACACATTAATTTTCCAAGCTTCTTTCCTGCCAATGTATTAAACAGACTCTCTGCCTTTCTCGGGCCAGTCTCCTCAGCTAGACTGGTCATCTGCTCGTCAGCCTCACTTTCGAGCCTTTGCCTACACAGTCCTCCCGGTGTGAACTAACCTTCTTCTCCTTCCACTCAAATCTTATGTCTTTCCAAGGCCCATATCTTCCAGACTAGTCCAGTTTCCAATCCCCTTCTCAGAACTCTTACAGCCTATGCCATCCCATTCACCACTTAATTCCCATCTCATACTCTTCCTGAATTTTACTTCTTACACTGCTGGTGAATAATAAGGTCCTTCAAATATAAAGCATATAGAAATTCTTTATATTCCTCGTACATCCGCCACAACCCCAGCTTAGAACTTATAATGGATTATCGACTACTTGTTGTTTACTTTGATAGCAGTTTTAATTTAACAAAGCACCTAAAACTAGTGATTTTCCAAACTTTATTTATTTACAACCCAGGCTACTGATGGGCACTTCACGGCATGTCTCTAAATCAAACCACCTCAAAAAAATTAATTTAACTTAAAAATATATACTTATACATCATGTACGATTTTTAGAAAGAGGACCTCAGCATGGGCAGTACATGAAACAAAAAGCCTGGAATTCTAGATCCAAATCTACATCACTGGGATTTTGGTTCTGGTTCTTTTCTGAATTAGAAAATTTTAAAACTCGCATTTGCACAATTTAGGAAATCTTCAGACTTATTTCATCAAACATAGGTTGGTATTTAAACTACCCTTTTTTCATTTTTCAATTACAGTTGGCATACAATATTATATTAGCTTCAGGGATACAATATAGACATTATATAACTAATGAAGTCATCATCCCAATAAGGCTAGTACCCAGCTGACACTATACTAAACTATCCCATTACCAAAAGCCAGCTTTTATAATATTTAACGTTTCAAAAACTATACGCATCTTGTTAGGACTTGGGTGGGGGGCAGCGGAGGTTGGCTATCAAAGCAACGCGCCCTTCTCCCTTGTCATTCCATATTTTACATCAGGTAGAACAGGGTAATCACTGTGTTTCGCTTAGAGTAAAAGCTAAATAAAATTAGAAAGATTTCTTTTGACACCGAAGGAATATTTTTAAAGAAGCAGAAGTCTTACCTGTTGTAGGATTTCTTGACACCAAAATGACTGACTCCGGAAGTCAACGTTGTTGGGGGCAGGTAAGGAAAAACAAAAGCAGCCAGGACCTTTCCCTGTTAGGATTTCCTTCTGCGATCAGCCTTTCCTTCCTCCCCAAGACCACAGCCGATTCGCACTGGAAGAACTGAAAATGCCGGCGTCCGGCTGGTAAACCTTCCAACCCAAGACGCTGGGTGGAGTGTGCGTGGTGACTGAGCGGCAGGAGCCGTCCGAATGTGACAAAAGAGGTTAGCAAGTTCCTGTGCCCGAGTCAGTTTCCTGTAACCGGCTTCTCCGAAGAAGGGGTGCATGCGTGTGGGTTTCAGGGCGTGTGCACGTGTGTTTCTCTCCATGACAATACGAAAACTTCCCCAGATCAGAGGCAGAATAAGACCCTTGCCGCATGGCTGGACTCGTGTTTCATTTGTCAACCCTCCCGGGACCATTTTTTCTGCCCTGTCCCTCCATTTCCCACCAGCACATCGCCCACATACAGCAGGAAAGGAAGAGCGAAACACCAAGATGATTCCTTAAGGGAGTGAAATAAAGCAGAAAAAAAGAAAAAAAAAGTCCACTCCTCTGACTGGCCGTGGTTCATTTACACTTAGCAAAAAGCACCTTGGAACTCACCATCAGCTTGATGAACATGCCGTGGAGGGAAAGCGGTAGGTGGAGGGTTTGGTTTGCTTTGCTTTATTAATAACTACCAAATAATAACTTGGGGCAGAGTGGACAGACTCAGCCATAGCGAGAGCTTAAGCAGCCCTGCCATGCATTCACCCTTCTGTGTGCCTGACACTGTGCACTGAAGAAAAGCACAAAGACCAAGACAGACATATTCCCTGTCCTCACAGTCCCTATGTCCTAGAGCGGGAAGATAAACAAAAGCATTCAAATTAACACAGTAATTACACATTGTAGTAACTAGTACAACGGAATCAGAGAAGCTGAGCTGGAGAGCAAGACTAAATCTACATCCTAGAGATGGTCAAGGAGGGCCTCTTGGAGCAACGGACAATTAAGCGGAGACCTACAGCTATGACTCTCAGCCCCAGCTAAAAGTTAAAATCATCTGAGGAGCTTTAAAAATGCCAATACCTACCACACACACACCCCCTACCCTTGAGATTTTAGTTTGTCTGGGTTGGTGCCTAGACATCAATACAAAATCCCCTAATCATTCTAATATGTTGCTACCCTCTGATGATGAGGAAGAGGAGCCTAGTGAGAGTAGAAGGCAAGATGATCCAAGCAGAGGCAACAGCATGTGCAAAGGCCCTGAGGTAGGAAAGAGCTTGGGTTGTTCAAAGGAGTGAAAGAAGAAGAGTGTGTCTGGCATGTAGCGGTGGCAGGAATAAAGGGTGCAAGCTGAATGTTCTCAGAGATGGACACACAATTACTCAGCCCATAAGAGACTCTTACACGAGCCCAAGTCTCAACTTGTTAATGTGCAGGAAGAACTCAGTCTGCCAGGTGAGATCTTTGAGCCCTCTGACGAGCACCTTATCTTCTTCTAGAAAATACTCCTTGAAAAGCCAGCTCACCATCATGACATTTAAGGCAAGCAGAACACAGTGCTGGCGGATACTTTATTTACCTCCAGTCTTGATCATCAAGAGATTTAAGGCAGCTAATACAAATGCATACACCTTGGTAAAATAAAACAAAATTTTAAAAAAGGAATGAAAAGATAAAGGCCAAAGAAATAAAGACAAAAAATTAAGCTAAAACCAAGAGCGAGGTTGATACAGAAAATACATGCCGTGCGTTTCCGGAGCCTTTAAGCAACGGGCATGAAGCGGCAAACACTGCGTGCCCACGGGACAGGATGAGTGCAATGCTCAAGGCGGTGGGCTCTTCCTGGCTTCCCGGTGTTGAGACTAAAGAGAAACTTGGCACCGGAATCTCATAAAGAGGACATCACAACTGATGGGACACCCATCCTTAGACTAAACACAGTCGGTGCCCAGTCTTGGGAGGTGTGGTTCCTTATATTCTCCCTCCGTGTAGGCAGATTTCATCTCACGAAGGAGTCGACTTAGAGGAATTCCAGGGAGCGCGCAGGGGAGGGTGTGCCTGGGGATGAACACAGTGTCCCATCCCAGGATGTGGCTTTGATGTGTCGATGTAATGCAGAGATGAAGAGTGAGTTCGCACATGCTTCAGAAATTCCAGGATAAAAGAGTTTTCTCATCGGAGCTTCTGAAAGATGTGCGGCGGCAAAGGGTTCTAAGTTGATTGTACTTCCAGCAAGAGATCCAGGGCTTTCTCATGTGGGAATGCAGAGCAGTGGGGCCAGAGCCTTGCCTGCGTGCACAGCCCCTCCCGCTCCAGCAGGATCAGAGGGAGAGGCTCCACCAGCGTGGCCCACAGGTTCAGCGCCTGGGGCCTGACACGCTCCCTCCACAGAAGGTCCTGCATATGCCCGGGTCAGGGGCCAGGACAGGTGGCGTGTGATCGCAGGCCCAAGCACTCCCACCCGTGCAGATGGTGCTGGGGAGGGCAGTGCCCCGTCGGCCTGCAAGTCTCC